CTCAAGAATACTTTAGATAGAGCCTGTCTCCACAGCATCTTGTGACCGCTTGCGAGCACTGTTTTCGACCTTGATCTCAATTGTTTTAGTGATTCCTGAGGTGAGAGTATAATCAATCATGCCAAAATCGCGGGTACTCCTGTCTGAGCCGTCGCTCACGTTCTCAGGCGGGAAGAGTGACGATCGGCTTGTGCCGGACTCCCTCCGAACCTGTAACTTCACTCTCTTTCCACCGCTCCACACGGAGGCGACCTGTGTTCCATTGCCTCCAGCTGAAGGAAGTCGTTCTTGGCTTGAATTCCGTCTATTCGCAAGCCGAAAAGATGAATTCTCATGAGTCGTTTGCTCATGCACGAGGCGGGATGCCAGGATGTCAATGCTGCAATGAAAATTAGTCTTTCAAAGTAGCTTAATCGGTCAAGAGCCAAACTTACAAGATCATCACCGGAAACATACACTCCAGAGTGTACACAAATCTGTCGATCTGGCCTGCCACTGTCCGGGCTTGCTGAACTGCGGGCTGGAAAAAGTAGGTGACTGCCCTCGTGACTCCGATCAATGCCAGGATGGCAAGGCGGATTTCTGTGCTTCGCATTAAATGCTGGAAGAGAGTTGGTGCGATTGATGCCCCTTGCGATATCGATTTCGCCGCGGCAAACTTGCGTAGGAGGAAGAAAGCGCTAAGACACTCAAGCACAGCTAAGGATGAGAAATAGCCAACATGGAGACCGTTGATGGTCGGCATTAGATCAGACTCTCCGTTCACGAGTATCTTTACCCGAGAAACCAGGATCATCATCCTGAGAACAAAGATGGTCCCCATCACTATCCAGAAAAGAGTCATGAAAATGATACGGTCGCGGCTGCGCAGAACGCGGGTGAGAATAGCATAACTGTAGAAGGAAATGCCTGCTTCTTGAATCTGAAGTTACATTAGATTGAAGTCTATCCATGTGAGCCTGTACTGTAAAGAAAATGCAAACACGGCGTACCATCCACATAACATCCGCAACACCAGACGCAACCGCCGTATTCAAGATGGGGTAGTCTGCATAGAAGCTGTAATAACATAACCCATTTGCGATAGAGCCTGCGACAGAAACAACGATAGGTATAAGTGATACGGGCGAAAAGGCCGTGATGCCAGCAATGATGAAGCCAAAAAGTGCGTTGGCCACGCCGATAGTGCTCAAGATGGCCCAGCTTGTCTCGAAGTAAACGATGGCCATCGCGGCGCCTTGGGTTGCAGGCGCATATGCAACTTCGCAGGGTCAAAGCTTTCACATCACGGCCTCCACATTTGTCTTATACACTTTGTGATGCGCGACGGGCGCAGTCAGGAACATAGAACGCCCGCTACGCCCCCCCCTTCTTACTGCAGAAAGCTGAATCTGTTACGTAGACACCATTTCCGGATCCTTCTCTTGCGCTCCAATGGCTCCTTTCCGAGCCACATCTTGGATTTGTGGCTGGCATCAGGATTCGACGCGCGCCAATGAGCATTGCGGAGGGCTTGGACTAATACCGGTTTGTGGGGTGAAAGCTGGGGTAGACATGAATGATCGCCTAGAACATGCGCCTATTTCCCCAGCTTTTGTCCGCTCAACGGCTTGATTGGTTCCCCGGTGATTGTCATCATTGCCATCACTGCAAGGTCGTATCACCACCGTTGAAGCCGGTGGGATACCTATATCTTTCCCCGCCTGCGGCCTTCAAATGAGAATCTTTTCACGCCTTTTCTGCTCGGTTTTACAGTCGCACAGTTGCCTGAGGCCTTGTTGACGTCCCTAAAACGTGTACCATGTCCCTCCAGATCCATGCCCATGCATGTTGGATCACACGAGAGACGGTTCACGCGTGTCTGGCAGTTTTGCGCTAGACGAGTAACGATACAACCTTGGAGACAGGAAGGGAATAGCGAGGCCATTATGCCTAGAGTTTCGCAGGTCGAGTGGCAGCCAACAGAGGTTGGTCAGACGACTCTTTGACCTTTTGTCCAAGCATGGACGTCTTCTAGAAAGAGGTTTAGGCAACCGATCGAGGGATCCTTACACCTCCTGCGGGCACACCTTCCCAGCAAGGGTTGAGTAGCCGTCATCTTGCGTGCCTCAATACCGATGGAGGCAATGATCGTAACCTTTCAGCTCGACGGGCGCCCCGAGGAGGATATTTGCCGGAGCAAGAGAAGCGGTTAATATCGCATCCCTGTCTACAAGAGTCTGAAACGTCGAGTTACACCTGCCTTAACCTCACAACATAGTCGTAGAGGTGCGCCTTGCCTTCTGAAATTGGCGGGGTAGAGATCAAGCAATCCGAATTGGGCCGCTTCTTCCTGCATCGTGCATCTTGGCCACATGTTTCCCACATGGCTATAATATCGGCATGCGATTTCCTGCAGATCCTTTTACCGGTGAGGTTCGTATAGAAGACTTTTCGAAGAAGGTTATTGCCATCGCTTACGCACCACACTCTTCCGCCATCTTCCATGAAAGCATATACTTTAAATTGTGCTTGAGGTCAGCTCGAGCTGCGCCACTTCCCGACGGCTGTGTTGAATACAAGACACACTCTCATCAGTTCGTCTATGATTCACTTCTTTCCCAACAAGAAGGCATCTTCATATCATACATCATGCTGCTCTTTACAAAGCCTATGCCTCCAAAGATCAGGAAGAAGAGAGCAAGAACAGGTACGTAGTCACGCGGGTGCTGGGGACGGGATGGAACATATAGCTGACAGTGTCGACATATAGGTTGCTCTAGCTGGTAGGTGATCTCATGCCTCGGCTGATTGGTAGCTGCTGACACCTTCCCAGCAAAGAAGCGAGAAAAAAGTGCTGCGAGCGGAAGCCTCGATGCACACGCTGCACCGAGAGAGGGTTGGAGTGCATCTACAACCCTGTCGAGCCACGTCGCAGCAAACATGCCAACGGGATAGCCTCGAAGACTCCCCGTAGTGTTTCTCCAACGCAACACTTTAGATCGAGACGATCTTTAGAGGCTGTCTCAGATGGCGGCTTCACTGAACCTCCAAGGGATGCTCACTCTACATCAAGTCACTCACCCCCTGAGACACCAGACTGGGCCAGCTTCAGCCAATTCGACTTTTGTGACAAGCCAGTTGATCAGCTCGCGAATTTTGATCGTAAGAGCGACTCGCTGAGTAGCTCACGGTTCGACTTCGTCCCGCTGAACACAGAGTTATCCCAGTCCAACAACATCGACATCGCGTCTCTGCTGTCTTGCCTCGAAATACCGCAACCGTCATTCTCAAACCTTACAGACTGCGCTCACGAAAGGAAACTCATTCACCATTTCTCCAGTGTTCTTTCACATTTGATCGTCTTCACGGAACAGCCAGACAATCTTTTTCAGGGTCTCATTCTGCCATTATGCTCTGATAACTCACCCGTCCTGCACGCCATGTGTGCCTTCGCCAAGGGACATCTTGAGTATATGGGCGTGCAAAACTCCAGGCATTCTTCAAACTACAGGGTTCTTGCTGCCGAGGGTGTCTTTCAACTTGTGCAGCAGAACTGCCGGCAGGAAGAAGTTTTGGCGGCAACCATGCTGCTCGTGTATTACGAATCTGTGAGTATTTATCCCTCAACAGGCCTTCAAGATAACATCAATGCTAACCAGGAAAAGCTCACCTTGACAGGAGCAACCAACATGGTTCTTGAGCACCTGAGAAGTGCCTTCCTTGTGCTGAGTTCGATTCCACTGTCCAAGAAGACCCGCAGTATCTTGTTCCTTGAGAAGGTGCGTGTGTTGACACCCAAGGTCTCGCTGGCGCCATGACTAATTCAACGAGAAGGCTTTCCAATTTTACGATGTCATCACGGCCCTTTCTTTAGGACGTAGTCCAGTCTCTACTGTGCCCGCAACTGAGCATGTCTACTCCATGGCATCATCTTCGTCCAAGTTGGCCCAAAACGGCCCTGTTGATCCACTTCTCGGTATGACTGGCAATCTATGGCCAGTTCTTTACCGTCTGAGTACTCTCAAATCCCTGAAAGGGGACTTGGATGGCGCGGTCTCCAACAACCAACCAGCCAAAGCCGCCGTCCTTCTGATGGAGTACGAGTCCACGGTCAAGGCAGTGCAAAAGGCTCTCCAAGATTGGGCGCCTCCGGTGCAGTCAGACGAGGACTTTGAGCCCTTTTGTGATTCGGATGCTCAGGGTGCGTTTCGCGCCATGGTTCACAACTCCATGGCATATCGTCACGGTGCTTTGGTATACCTGAATCGGTCGATTCACGACCATCCTGTCGACCATCCTGCGGTTCAGGAAAACTGCCATCTTACTCTGGAGAACTGCGTTGCGGTCATCGCATCAGGTGGACCGGTCAATGCGCTCCTCTGGCCTTTATTCGTGGCAGCATGCGAAGCTATCACGGATCAGGACCGGGGTCTCGCAAGGTACGCCTTCATTGAAATTGAACGAAGGCAGGGCATGATCAACATCGAGAGAGCCCGTGCAATTGTCCTTCATCAGTGGGCTGCTGCGACGTCGGGAAAGCTTAACGGTGGCTGCAATACGGGCGCTGAAGCGTGGAGGGAGGTTGCGGGGAGTATGGGAATGACAATTATCTTCGGTTAGATCGGGAAAGCAAAGGGGGCATAAGGATACAGGACACTCGTTTCTTTTTCATATTTACCTATATGTAGACACCATAATCACTAGACCCTAATTTTTACTCAGACGCCATAGGCATAAGTAATCAAACGGACACTACACACTATCTGCACACGGCTCTTAGGCACAGATGACTTGGTCTAGATGCTGTTGGTTATAGCTCTCCGAAGTCGAGACCCAAGTGGGCGGCACCCGTGCAACCCCGGTCCGGGCCTTGGTGGGTCGATCTCGAGGCGGAACTCGGGACCGGGCCGCGAACTAGATCCCGTCAGTCACGGGCAGCCCGTCCCTGTTTGCCTACAAACCTGGGACAAGGAGTGAAAGAATTCATGGACAAATTCTCGCCTACCCAACCTGCTTGGTCTCGAACTTTCAATGTTCAAGATTGAGTGATGCGTCTTCTTAACAGGGCAATCTAGGCGCCCGGAATGTCTCGGCGCTTAGCCACCCCCATTGATCTGCCTCTTGACCAAACCCTGCAATCCAATGGCGTACGCCCAAACCTGAGATGAGTCTCCACTACAACGTCAAGGCAACATCATGCAGGCCTCCGATTCCCACCCTCTCGATTTGTCCAACGGCCCGCGCCTAGTGCGGCTAGTGGTATGATCCGCCTCTCGTTGACAAGCGCATACGCCAGTTGACTTCGAAGTCTCTCCATGATTGGTTTGTCTTTTCAAGAATGGTGCACCTTCATGCGGTCGCGAGGCGTTCAAGCGGCCGTCTTAGGCCCCTCTTGACAGGGTTTGAAGGTATGTATGACCAGCGCAGTCCCAACCTTTTCAGACGTAGGCGACCGTTGTCCTACTCTTGCTGCTTAGCCTGTGGTGCAATCAGTCAAAGATGGACGACCAAAGGCCTGTCCGGCTTCTCTCTTTGGGTAGGTCTTCCAGTTCGTGCCACTTATCTCTATGATCATCAACTAACATTCGCGCCATGATAGATGGCGGGGGTATTCGCGGGCTCTCCTCCATCTTGATTCTGAAAGATTTGATGCGCCATATGAATCAAGATCGTGATCCCAATAGCCAGCTCCAGCCTTGGCAAGTCTTCGATCTCATTGGAGGTACAAGCACGGGCGGGTGAGAATAGAGTTCGCACCTATCTAGATGGCTCAAGATCGTACAGTCTGACGCGTGTTTCCCAAAGAATTATCGCTATAATGCTAGGATGTCTTCGCATGACGGTCGATGAGTGTGAAGAGGCGTACATTCGTCTTGCAAAAACAATTTTCAAGCCGAAACGATGGAAATACAACGCCTTCAGCCGTGGTGTCGATTTCTTTTCCGCTAGCGAACGGTACGACTCAGCAAAATTGGAAAGTGTGGTCAAAGAAATCATCAAAGCACGAACGGGTAGCGAGAAGACCCCATTGAGTAATTTTATAGAGGACGGTGTCGGCAAAGTGTAAGAGGATGGATGCAAGACCAACAACCGCCAGAAGGTTGAGCTGACAATGAAAAAGGTTCGTTACCACGGTTCAGACAGATGACAATGAGCTACTTTTGCTGCGCTCGTATGAAACGAGGCAAGAACTCGACAAACACTCCAAACAGTTCCAGCTGTGGGAAGCACTCCGCGCCACATCAGCTGCTACAACGTACTTTAAAGAATACCGTCGCGGCAACGCCGGTTATCTGGACGGCGCTTTGAAGAGCAACAACCCCATTTTCCAAGTCCGTCAAGAAGCTCGAGACCAGTGGCCGGATAGGGAGGCATTCTTAATCAGTATCGGAACGGGCACCAAGCCGTCGGTTCCTCTCAGGGGGAACCTTATTCACTTAGCGAGAACACTGACCAAGCTAGTCACTGAAACTGAGGAAACCTGGAATCGATTCAGGGGGTCACATAAGGAAATGTTGGAAGACAGTCTCCTATTTCGTTACAGCGTCCCCGAGCTTGGAGGCGTGGACCTGGGAAACCACAAGTTGATGGGCATGGTCCGCGCGAATACGGAACGCCATCTACGAGAAGCAGCAACAGAGAAATACGTCACAGCATGTGCCAAGAAGATGGTGAAAATTGAGTCAGGTGAATACGTAAAAGCTCACGCGGAGAAGACTTCGTCACTGCGATTAGAAGACCTGTCAGACTCCGAGAAGGGTGAGTTCCAGATTCCTAAAACTTGGCTGAAGGAACATGACACTGACCCAACAATAGATTGCCTGCGTAGTCTCCATGCGACCAGCGGGGACTACGAAAGCCAGAGAATTGGTATTGAGAAGCCTGTCCCAGGGACGTGCCAATGGTTCCTGCGTCACCCCAAATTCGCCGACTGGGTTCAGAGCACATCGTCTTCCCTTCTCTGGGTAACGGCAAATCCTGGGTGTGGCAAATCGGTGCTTTCCAGCTTCCTCGTGGACGCCCTGAGCCAGGACAAAAATCAGTCCATCGTATGCTCCTTCTTCTTCAAGGCTGGCGTCGACAGTCGCCGAGACTCCCACCAGGCTCTATGCGTCCTGCTTCATCAGCTCTTCGTCGCCGCCCCGGAATTGGTCAACGTAGCGATGGAGGATTATTCTAGCAAGGACAAGTCGTCTTTCACCAAGGATCTTGAAGCGCTCTGGGCGGTGTTTCGCACCTCTGCCAGCCGCCTCCACGGCCGCAAGATCATCTGCGTCGTCGATGCCCTAGATGAGTGCTCTGATGAGTCCAGGAATCGCTTCATCAGCCAGCTCGTCGGGTCGTTCTCAACCAGCAACTCCGAGAAACCTGCCGGCAACCTCAAGTTCCTTGTGACAAGTCGGCCGTGGCCCAGCATCGAGAGCCGCTTCCGGAACTTGCTTTCAATCCGGTTACGAGGAGAGAATGAATCATCGTCGCTGTCCAAAGACGTGGAAAGGGTTGTCGAGCATCGTGTGCGGGAGCTCAAAATGTCGTCCGCGCTCTCCGAGGATGCTAGCACAATGGTAACCAAAGCTCTGACCGAAGGGGCAGATCGTACGTTCCTGTGGGTTTCACTGGTGTTTGACGCCATTGAGCGACTTCAGTCGCGGAAACTCAGTTCCATCGCAAAATCATTGGATTCCTTACCCGACGATCTTGACCAGCTTTACGAAAGCGCCTGGGCAGCCTTTATCGACCACGAAGCCTCGCATAAGTTGCTCGGAATCATCCTCGCTGCCAATCGCCCTCTCAAGCTCGAAGAGATCAATATCGCTCTCAGTTTAGGGGTGAATATCACTTCTTTAGAAGGTCTCGAGCAAGAGCTTGAGCCCGACGCAGAATATACAATCAAGCAGCTGGGAGGATTCTTCATCCGAATCATTGACTCTACAGTATTCCTCGTGCACCAAACTGCACGCGAATTTCTGCTTGGCTCTAGAGCAGACGCTGCGAGGAAGGAGGGGAAGACAAGGATCCAACTGGCCGTGGCAGAGTCTGACTTGGGCGGAAGTTGCGTCAGACTCCTCGCGCTCGATGGACTTCCGAAGAGACCCAGCCTACCTATGGAAGAGGGGAAGCGAGTCGAGTCGAACAAAGCGTTCATTACCGATTTGCCTTCCTGGGTAAGAAGCTTTTACATGTACGCTTCAAAGTACTGGACAGAACACCTCAGAGGCAACTCGTTGCCCGAGTCCAAGTCCAGGATTGATCTAACCGTGAAAACGATTTGCGATTCTTCGAAGCCATTCTTTCGTGGTTGGTGGTATTTCTACGCTGAAAGAGATTTCTTCTATGCGGGTAATGATGCGAAGACTATGCAAGGCTATGTGGGTCGTTATCACGCGCACTATACGACAATGAGGCAAGACTTTGTCGCCACAAGAGGGCTGCTGGAGGCGGGTACGTCCAGCGTTGAGCAACGCGACGCAAATGACAACGATATTCTGTACAAATCATGCGTTGACAGCAACAGGTCCTTGTATCAGCTTCGATGGATCTTTCATCAATACAATCCCGCAGTACTTCAGCTCCACAAGTCTTTGGCGGCCGCATCTAAGCTGGGAAGAATGGAAGTCGTCAACTTCTTGCTTGCCACGGGGATGGAAATCCATCCTGCAGTGCAAGGCCCTCCAACGAGGACTTGGTCCCTCACCCAGTCCGCAATCCACAGCACGCCTGCCCTCGAGTGCCTCCTGGCGCGGGGCTTGATCGTTCAAAGGGAGGACATCGCGTATGCTGCTCGCCATGGTTATGCTGAAGCGTTGGAGATATTGCTACTTCACAATGCCGGAGAGAGGGATAGCCAGGAAACTCTTAGAGAAGCCTTGGTTCAGGCCACAGAGAAAGGGTACCCGCGGTGTCGAGCTGTGGCCTTGAAGTATCTTCCCGACAACGCCGCCAATGAAGTAGATCCATCAGAGGGATTATTGTCTGCGGCAATGCGTAGCGACGAATCAGCTGTAAAGGAAATACTCGACCAAGGAGGGCAAAACAGCAGGGAAGCACTGAGTTTTTGCTGCTCCCTGAGTTATGTAAACATGGCGAAGCTTTTCCTGGAATCGGTTGTTCATACTCGAAAGATCCTTGAGGAAGCTTTATTGGCCTTTTACGATACCCAGATGGGAGCCGACCTGAAGACTTACTACCTCAACGTCGTTGAAAAGACAGCGGGCTCTGGGCGCAAGTTGTACGATGGATTCAGATATGTGTCAAGTTTCAATGGCAGTTTCGAAGAGAATGTTGAGCTACTTCTACTGTTCTCAGCCAAGGGAGTCCGTTTATCTCGACGCAGGTATGTTGGAGCAGTGGCTTTAGTCATCGCCACGGACGAGAAGTACAGCCTCTGGCTCCTGAGGACCACGGAGAGACTTCAGGACGATCCGAAACTCTCAGCCAGGGACTTCCTGCCGATAATGTGCTTCTGGGGAAAGGCCAATTTGATACAGACGGTAATCTCGGGAGTGGCGCTAGCTGATATCAATAAGAAAAATGAGGCAGGCGTAACTCTTTTGATGATCGCCACTGCATCGGGGGATTTGGCCACGGTGGGACTGCTTCTGGAGAGAGGAGCGGATCCAGACCAAAGATGCCGACTGGAGGCAGCTCGGTCAGATATGACAGACTGTGAGTTGGAGTTGGTTGATCTCCTGTCCAGTGTAGCCAAAGGCCTCGACCGCGAAACCCTCGATAGTTCGCCACGCTCGCTAGCCCAGGAAATGGGATATACTGGCATCGTCAATCTACTCAGTGCGTGGCGATGATTAGACGGCATGTTGGGACAGCTTGAGATTGGCAGTTGACTGTAAGGGCACAACCTGCGGAATTGTTTGCCGTCGGTGCGCCTTCCAGGTTAATTAAGGTATTATGCGGCTTTGTCACAGGCGTTGCACGGTTGGATCTACAGCGGGACTCGGGACTCGGGAGCAACAAGGATTATTCAGCCTCAAAAGATGGCATCAGTGCCAATGCCAATTGGAATTGCTTACGGAGTAGCGGGATTTGCACTTGGTGAACCACGGTGTGTAGGTCACCGAGTAATCGCCGTCCTCCCAGGATAAATGCGCGAGTGTGGCGAGCTAGAACGAATCAACAAGGCAATGAGCAAAGAGAAGCAATTCGTAATTAGAAGCCTATCGGTGTTGGAAGGTAATCTGGAAGGTGCGTCAGGACGGTTAGATGCGTTATGAGGAACCTGAATTTAGAATCAGCGACAGCCGAGCTGATGGCCGAGCCGTTACCTACGGCAGGGGAAGAAAAGGACAGCGACCCGAGAGAGTACTTGTATTTATGTGAGAGGTTCGGCAGATGAGTATGTACTGTGCCCTGCGGATGGGTACATCTCGCGTCATCGATCCCCTGTACCCCTGACAAATCAAGAAGGAAATTTACTAGCAGCGTCCATGTCATCGCCTGGTACCGTACCTTACCGGTAACGCGCATTCCACACAACTGGGAAGCACCAAATCCGAGCTCTCCTTCCCGTTTCTCTGCTCCCGTCAACTTCTGCTGCATTACACTATCAGACAGTCGCCCATTGCTTGCCCAACCACACGCGTTCCTCCCCCCCTCCGAGGTATATAGTTTGATTTCCTCCCACGTCACCGCCCAAGTGCCCCTCCTATCATCCCACATGTCTACCAGACTCTTCCGCCCTCTTCAACGCATCGCGACATCTTCACTTTCTACCACATATCGAACCTTTCACTCAACATCGCCTAACATGGTTGTCCACAACGTCCGCAAGTAAGTTTCTACCTACCCGTCCACGTTTCTATCCCGGCCTGCAATCTGCATGCTCCACAGGAAACTAGAATCTGCCACAACTTTGTACACGAAGCTGACCACTTTGTTTGTGATCTCAGCGCCGAGGAGTGGAAGGCGACCCTCAAGGACAACGACGTTGTCCTCCTTGATTGCTTTGCCACCTGGTGCGGTCCTTGCAAGGCCATCGCCCCCCACCTGGTCAGGTAAGTCCCAAACGTTTAAAACGGTCGCCAGTGCTCGCAACATGCAACGCTCGCTAATCACCCTACTTTGCCTACAGGCACTCCCAAAACGTGGAGTACAAGGGCATTCACTTTGTTAAGATTGATGTTGACGAGGTCCCCGACGTGAGCCAAGAGCTCGGCATTCGAGCCATGCCTACCTTCATGATTTTCAAGAACAAGGAGAAGAGTCAGGAACTCGTAGGCGCCAACCCCATTGCCCTCGAGAAGGCCATCAAAGAGCTTGCCGCAACTCCTGAGGCTAAGGCGGCGAAGGAAGCGAAGGAGGCGAAGGAGAAGGAGGCCGCCCTATCAGCTGAGGAGCCGAAGCAGGAGTAGAGAACGGATTCCGTTGCGTCAAGAGGCAGGAGCAGTAACAAGACAGCTACACTGCGTGGAACAAGTCCGTGTATAAGATACCAAACAAGGAAAAAGAAAAGAATTTGATGCAAAGACTTGCACAAAGTCCAAGCTGTGAATAGTGTTGCCGTACCATTTAGCTGCTCATGGTTCAGTCCTGGCCACCTGGATATGCTGTTACGGTGTCACGCATAACCGTATACGCAAACGTTGTTGTACTCTGATACAAGTAGACGTGACTGCTTTGATGTTCCAGCATATTGATATGAAAACCTGACGCATACGTCGTTATTCCTCTCAAGAACTCTATTCTTATACATGATTGTATTGCAGTGGAGCATTTCCTCGAGAAGCAGCCTCTGACATGGCTGCATAAAACATCTGACCGCCTACAGTGTCTCTCTGTTTGAAGCGCGGGAGCCTATCTATTTGAATGATCACCAATCTGTCATCAGGATGGCGGACGTGTAACGGCATTCACCGGCTCTTGGCGGTCGGTTTCCGCTTTATGGCCGGGAGGTGACTCAAAGATTGAGATAAAAAAAAATCACAGGAAAGTTCCTGACCGATGGGCCCCGCGCCGGTTTTCGGCTCGGCGTGGGCGGGGACACTTGCCCGCGGGGAGGGGGGCGCCCTGAATCGACAACATGGTGTCAATTGGGAGATAAACATGGCGCGATAGTGTGAGTACATGTAGACGCAAGTCACCAAAAGGCGTTGGTTGACATGTTTAAAGCTTCAAGTTCGCTCCCTTGATTGTTCCATAGCATTCTGAAGCTGAGCATATCTAAAGTGCCCAATTACGTTCAAAGATAAAGAAGCCTGCAACCAACAACATCTTCACGAAGGTACTTACTTATGTACATACCTATACATCTCCGACTGACCAACTTCAGTTGAAAGACAATCGGAGCACTTAGAGTGGATAGCTTATATCGCGACAAGAACATTCCACTATGACCAACAATGTTGTTGTGCTCGGGTAAGCAGACAGCAGGCCATCTCAATATCCAATCGCTTACCGTGTCCAGCGCTGGCGTCTCAGGCCTGACCGCCGCGCTGCTGCTATCCAAGAGCAAAAGCAACTCCATTACCGTAATCTCCAAGCACATGCCCGGCGACTATGATATCGAGTACACCTCGCCGTGGGCTGGCGCCAACATGCTGCCGTAAGATCAGGCACCTCCTTCAACGCGAGAGAACCTGCAACTAAAGCTAGATTCACAGCATGGCCCCAGAGTTTGACAGCAGATGGGAGCGCAGGACGTGGCCTGAGCTGAACCGTCTCGCCGCCGAGGTCCCCGAGGCCGGCATTCACTTCCAAAGTGTGTAGCCAGAGCCTGAATGCTGCCACCGTGCATAAATCCCCTAGCATACTGACCTTTTCACCCAGAGAGCCGCGTCTTCAGACGCAAGAAGGACATCGAGGCCGGCGGCAACCCCTACGACGCGCTCTACGCCGTCGACCCGTGGTACCGCAACGTCCTCCCGGACTACCGGGAGCTCGCAAAGGACGAGCTGCCGCCCAACGCCTACTCCGGCTCCGAGTTCACCTCGGTCTGCATCAACACGGCGCTCTACCTGCCCTACCTCGTAGGCCAGTGCCGCAAGAACGGCGTCGTCTTCAAGCGCGGCGACGTAGCCCACGTCAACGAGCTGACGGCGCTGCACCACTCGGGCAAGCCCGCCGACATCATCGTCAACAGCGCCGGGCTTCTGGCATGCAAGCTGGGCGGTGTTGAAGACAAAAAGGTCATCCCCGCGCGCGGGCAGGTTGTCGTCGTGCGCAACGAGGTCGAGCCGATGGCCACCATCTCCGGCACGGACGACGGGCCGACAGAGGTGTGTTACATGATGACGCGGGCGGCGGGCGGCGGGACGATCCTGGGCGGGACGTACGACAAGGGCAACTGGGACGCCAACCCGGACCCCAACATTGCGATCCGCATCATGAAGCGGTGCGTCGAGCTGTGTCCCAGCTTGACGGGCGGCAAAGGCATCGAGGCGCTGAGCATCATTCGCCACGGCGTCGGTCTGCGGCCGTACCGCGAAGGCGGGCTCCGACTCGAGATTGACAAGACGACGTTGGCGGATGGGACGCCGATTGTGCACCACTATGGCCATGCTGGATGGGGATACCAGGGGTCCTATGGCACGGCTGAGGGTGTTGTTGAGTTGGTGAACAAGATCCGGGCGGAGAAGGGGGAGAATCTGGCTGCTGAGCCCAAGCTCTTTTCCTGGGACCGGCCGAGCAAATTGTAGGCTTTTTGCATCTTGAAGTTGAATTTGAGTTCTGAAGAATGGTAATTGGTCTATATGAAGCGAATAAAGAATTAGAAGAAACAGTAAGGTAATAAGCGGTAAGCTGACATTGATAAACCAAAGCCATCTGGCAATGGATGCCTCTTGCACCACAGTGTGGCCTGCCCCCAAGATGGCAAAGGTGACACCGTGCAACTTGGACCCTGCAGCCACGAGTGCAACCTCCACCTGCCGTTCGCGACAGCTTTCAGAAGCTCCCCTGTGCATCAACGAGCTTTTCCAACCTGCGCAATTCAGCCTGTGAAGCCTCACTATGGCCGAACCAGCGCCCCCAATCTACGTGCAAGCGTCTCGCTTTGTGCTGGATGTTGCCAATGGCCGGCATGCACTCTCCAAGGCCATACCACCCGTCCTTCTTGCGCTGGATGCCGTCCTCTGTGGGCTCATCATCTGGAAGATCCCCTGTGAGTAGCGACCAACTCCAGAAAGAAAGTGAGAGTGCTGACTTGGAGCCCTGTAGATACCGAAATCGACTGGGTAGCCTACATGGAGCAAATCTCTCAATATGTATCGGGCGAACGCGACTATACCAAGATCAAAGGCGGCACCGGACCGCTCGTATACCCTGCCGCCCACGTGTACACATACACTGGCCTATACTACCTCACCGACGAGGGCAAGGACATCTTCCTGGCCCAGCAGCTGTTCGCAATCCTATACCTGGCGACTCTTGCCGTTGTAATGGCCTGCTACTGGCAAGCAAAGGTACGCTGCCCCAGAACTACGGGTAGCTAGACAATTGAATGCTGACGATTCTCTCCCGCAACCAGGTCCCGCCCTATATCTTCCCGCTCCTGATCCTCTCGAAGCGCCTCCATAGCGTCTTTGTTCTGCGCTGCTTCAACGACTGCTTCGCGACCCTCTTCCTCTGGCTCGCCATCTTCTTCTTCCAGAAGCGACTATGGACACCGGGCGCGATCCTATACAGCTGGGGTTTGGGAATCAAAATGTCACTGCTGCTCGTCCTTCCCGCCGTGGGCATCGTGCTCTTCCTCGGACGCGGCTTCGGAGGAAGTCTTCGCGCGGCATGGCTCATGGCACAGGTGCAAATCGTCATTGGGATCCCCTTCGTCTCGAACAACGCCAAGGGGTACCTCGGTCGCGCCTTTGAGCTGTCACGGCAATTCTTTTTCAAGTGGACGGTCAATTGGCGCTTCGTGGGCGAGGAGACCTTCCTCAGTAAGCCCTTCTCAATTGCACTACTAGGACTGCACGCGACGGCACTGCTCATCTTTGCCTTCACGCGGTGGCTCAACCCCACGCAGAGGCCCCTGTCGTCCCTCCTCCCGGCGATGCTCCGGGGCAAATCCCCCTTCTCGGCGCTAGAGGAGGCCCAAGTGGCCAACCGGGTGACGCCGCGCTACATCCTCACGACGATCCTCTCGGCCAACGTTATGGGCCTCCTCTTTGCCCGGTCTCTCCATTACCAGTTCTACGCCTACCTAGCCTGGTCGACGCCGTATCTCCTCTGGCGCAGCGATCTGCCCTTTTACGTGGTGTACATCCTCTGGGCGGCGCAGGAGTGGGCGTGGAACGTGTACCCCAGCACGGACTTGAGTTCGGAGGTTGTCGTGGGCGTGATGGCGGTCACCGTGGCGGCTACGTGGTTCGGCACGGCGGATGAAGGTGCCCCGGTCGAGAAGCCGGAGTCGAAGAAGCGGTGATGCGGTGGCTGTGATGTTGGTGCTTGCACAAGGGATATCATTCAAGTCATGTAAAAAGTCGCATTTCGCATCAGTAGTCGTCCTCAGAATCGGAAGGCGGCATCTTGCCCACATTGGACTCTTCTTCGTCGCTGTCTTCGTACGTGTTGGTCTTTACAAACTCCTTGGGCCTGGCATTTCATCAGTCAGCAAATGCAGTGAAGACATACATGTATTTGCGAATATTGAGGAAAAGCTCACCAGTAAGCTTGCTTGCGCCAGGCCTTCTCGTCGCGAACGACATTGATAATCTCGCCCATGACGCGCCCATCATGCTCCTCGTACCTCTCAGCCAATACGAAGCCGCCGCGCTTGATCCAGATCGTGTTGCGGAAGCGCTGGGCGAGCTCGAGGACAAAGTCCTTTTTGTTGGGCAGCTCGCAGGCGTAGAGGTTGTTGCCCTCGGCCTTGACGACGCGCACGATGGCCTGGTTCTTTTCCAGGGTTGCCGGCGGGGTCAGGGTGTCTTCGGCCGCCTGGAGAGCGGAGCGTTTTGGTTTGCCCATTGTTGTATGACTGGCGAGGTGTGCGAGACTGAGCAAGGTGATGGATCAGGGAACTTTTTTTTTTTTTTTTTTTTTGGGTGGTGAGTGACAATGGTGGGGTAATTTTCCCGTCTATGGATTTTTTTTTTTTTCTTTTTGGAGGATGGAGGCGGGGTGATGTTTACTTTGTGGAGTACGTACTCCGGACACTTGGGAGCTCAGGTTCTTCCTCTCAAGAGCCATGAAGAAGATTTCAGTCAATCCAACTACCTTGATTGGAAATGAATTGAAACGTCTGACTAGACGATAGTAAGTCATTGAGGCCTAACTAGTTAATCAATGTATTTGGTATCACTCTAGGCATCAGAAGGGCTACGGGGTATAGGCATGGCAAAACACCGGCATCCCCAACCGGCGCACCTCGCAGACGACCCGAGCTTCTGCCGGCGGAGCTTCTCCGCGGCCGGAGACAGGATTCTAGCAACACCGACCACCTGGCCGCGCTAACTTGCGTTTTCCCACGCGGTCTCGGGTCCGCTATCCACGATCAGTCGAGACTAGAATCTGGAAACCATTTTCCCTCCCTCCCCAACCTCCCGTGCCTAGTGCTCACCTTGCTCTAGCCATTGGTGCTGATCAATCATTGCTCGTGACACAACAGCAGTCTAGCCTCGCTCATCATCCGGACTCCATGTTTCCAAGTGGACAGAAAGCAGTCGTCGTCACCAAGAAGTCTTGCATTCGTATCGCTGCAGCAGTCCGTCTGCTTTCACACCGTCTCGATCCCGTCCCCAAACGCAATCGGCCCGTCCCCCACATGTCTGCGTTTCCAACCGGGGATATCAATCGAATGCCGTCAAGGAGGCTAGACCAACTCCAGCTCGCCGGCAAAGTACAAGGTCGCAAATCCACGAGACCGGGACCCCATCTTCTTTTCTCTCACGAGCCTTGAAAGTTTTTCTCGTCTTTTTCTTTCAAAGCCCAGGTGGGGAAATATGCAGGACTATCTGAACCCTGCATATGCCTCTTGTTCATAGGCTTGAGATACTGAACCCCTCCGACCCGCAAGGTGAAAGGGTCAGGGAGGCTCGCACACCTTACACGCCATGACGCTCTTGGAAAGTTGAACAGTTTTGTCAAGGACCCACGGTGGCTGCTAGTATCGTGAGATTTGCAATTACTGTACAGTTTTTTACTACCTCCTCAGGTGGCCCTTTAGCCTTTTAATCCCGCCGGATTACCTGCCGTATTTGTAAAAGCTTTCTCTACCTGACTGAGGTACCTTGGTGACTCACTTATCTTTCTAGTTTCTCTTACAGATACTTGAACCATTACACCCCTCCCATATTATCAACTTTCCACTCTCACTTCCCTCAACCAAGGCCTTGGCCAAAGTGTTCCCGCTAGGACCCTCAACCCAATCCCAGCCAAGTTCTCCTTCCCAGACACCAAACATGGAGGCCTCAATGTTCAAGACCCTCGTCGAGGTCGAATCCCGCGACCTAGACGCCCACCCTCCCCTCCTCCCCGCCGCCCCCGCCAAGGCCGTCCCGCGAACCTACCCGGGCGCACCGCACCACCGCGACGGGTCCTCCATTGAGCTCGCCCGTATCGACACCACCACAGCCAACTACAACAACAAGAGCAGGGCCGGGACACCGCGGGGCAGCGCCGGCCCTTCCCGGGCACAATCGCCGTCTCGGACCCCCGGCTCCGGAAGCGATGTCGAGATGAGCCGGCCCTCGACGCCGACGGCCTTTGACGTCCTGCAGAGCATCACCGACCCGCACATGAACCGCTACCGCATGGCGGCGTCGTGTCTCATGAACTTTGGCAACGGGCTCAACGATAGTGCGCCGGGTGCCTTGATCCCCTACATGGAGAAGTGAGTCCACCATACCTAAGCACGCCCAGCGAGTCCGTGAGAACAACAGACTAACACCACACCAGGCACTACGACATTGGCTACGCAATCGTATCCCTAATCTTCATAGGCAACGCCTTCGGCTTCATCTTCGGCGCCGTCTTCCTCGAATCCCTACGCCTCAAGCTCGGCCGCGCCCGCCTCCTCGCCCTCGCCCAGTCCATCATCACAATCGCCTACGCGCCCATCCTCGCCCAGGCCCCGTTCCCCGTCGTCGTCGTCTCCTTCTTCCTCATCGGCTTCGGCATGTCCATCACCCTCGCCGTCAACAACGTCTTCTGCGGCTCCCTCCGCAACGCCACGACCGCCCTGGGCTTCATGCACGGCGCCTACGGGGCCGGGGGCACCGTCGGTCCTTTGATTGCCACCGCGCTCGTCACGGCTGCGAAGGCGCGGTGGAGCACGTATTACTTTATCCCCCTCGGCCTCGCCATCTTCAACGGCGTGTTTTCGACCTACACGTTCTGGCACTACGAGCGGGACCTCCCCGCCGGCGGCGCCCAACCTACACCCGCCGAGACAGCAGCCAACTCGTCCTCCTCCCAGCTCCTGAGCATGTTCACCGCCCTCAAAATCCGCATCGTCCTCCTGGGAGCCCTCTTCGTCTTCGCCTACCAGGGCGCCGAGGTCTCCATCTCCGGCTGGGTCATCTCCTTCCTCATCGCCACACGCAACGGCAACCCGGAATCCGTGGGCTACGTCACGGCCGGCTTCTGGGCGGGCATCACCATCGGTCGGCTCTGCCTCTCGCACCCGGCCCACCGCGTCGGCGAGAAGCTGTTCGTGTTCCTTGCCACCGTCGGCGCGGCGGTGTTCCAGCTCCTCGTGTGGCTCGTGCCCAACGTCGTCGGCCCCGCCGTATCGGTTGCGATTGTCGGGTTGTTGCTGGGGCCGATTTACCCGTGCGCGGCGGCCGTTTTCATGAGGGGCATGACGAGGACGGAGAGAGTGAATGGGATGGGTGTGATTAGTGCGTTTGGAAGCTCGGGGGGTGCGGTGGCGCCGTTTACGACGGGTATGGTTGCGCAGGCTGCTGGGCCCTGGGTGTTGCATCCGATTGCGATTGGGTTGTTTGCCTTGATGATGGCTTCTTGGTATGGTGTGCCGCACGACAGGAAGAGGAGCGTATGAGTGCTTTACAGAAGTCGTGGTAAACGGGGTAGACCCCAAAGACCAGGAAACAGACCGTCTGGCTGTGTAAGATCAATTCCATGGCTGGGCCGGTAAGAGGGCCCCAGCCTTCCAAGTACTTGGACTGGTGTTGATGATACACTGGATGAGTATAAGAATGAATATGATTCGGGTTGGGGGGTTTTGATACATACTAGCTCCACGTCAATATTCTTAGAGCTGTACATATGTGAAATATAATCAAATGTAACAGTGTGGCATTGCTCGTTGTATATCCCGTAGACCCAGTCTATGTCTATATCTAATATGAAAAATAAAAACGGAAACCCCTATTCTCCCGCCCTCGCTTTATTGGTATCTATACCGCCTCTGTTCTCATCCTTTCTAGAAATCCCTCTTGCATCTCTCTAAGTGTCCGTCGTTTCGCGTTTCGTTCGTCGTCTAGTGGATACGTCCCCGCGCAGCGTCCTTGACGCTCAGCTTGCCCTCGACAATTTGCTTGACCGTCGACAGGATATCGGAAAAGTCGTTGAAGGTGACAAAGGAGATGCCCTCCTTTTCGCAGTACGCGACGAGATCTGTGGAGTGTGTCAGTTGCGACCCTGTACCGTCCGAAAGCCGATATCGCAGAAAAAGAATCGACGATGGCGGGGGCGGGGTAAAACAAGTCTCACCTTTATCGCGCTTGGCGAACAACAAATCCGTCTCGCGCGCAGCAGACAGATCAGAAACACCATCACCAGCATAAAACATGACGGGCCGCTCTGGCAGCGACGAGTACTTGCGCAGCTCAATCGACTTGTCGTGCCCATGGATGCTGTCGTCGTGGTAGACAATCTGCCACCCGCCCTCCTCGTTGATGCTCGCCTTGCCCTCGCGCGGTGCAACCTGGTTGCTCACAATCTGGATATGCCCATCGACCTCCTCCTCACCAAGCCACTGCACGAGCAGCGCGCGGATGATAGGCCGCATGCCGCCGGAAATAATCACGACGGGGACGTTGTTGGCGCGGCACCAGGTGTAGAACTCCTTGAAGACGGGGTCGAGCTTGACGTTCTTCTTGAGATACTCGATGCACTGGTCAAAGGGGAGCTTGACCGAGTCCATCATCTCCTGGAAGCTGTCGCGGAAGTGCTTCTTGCCCTCAAGGACGAGGAGGTTTCCCGCGCGGCGGTTCTCGTAGCCGTAGCCTACGTTGTCTGTGAGGAAGTCGTTGGAGTCTTCGAGGGTGATTGTGCCGTCAAAGTCGGTGAAGAAGATGAAGTTTGGGTTCGTGGCCAGGGCCGGGGTTTCGCTGACGTGGGAGCCCATTTTGGTGATATTGTGTGTGTGTGTGTGTGTGTGCGAATTGCAGAAATGTCAAAGAGTGTGATTCTTAGAAGGATGGTGAGAAAACAAGTGAATGTTTCTCAGTATGATGCGTGGGCTGGCGAGAAGTGTGTGTGTTTCTGTCTTGGAGGATTTTGAGGGATGGAAATTTAAATGGAGGGGGAGGGGTAAGATCAAATGGCTCGGAGGATTGCCAACAGATTTAGTTCAGGTTACAGATCCTTGTATGCGCGAGTACCTTACATGCAGATTAAGAAAATCCATCAATGCTCTAGGTACATGGAACGACACGGTACATGCCCGGCCCGGAGGCTTCGAATCGAGATACTCCGCGCCTCTCACTGACTGTTCTTATTGGCCTTCTTCACCATTACCATTGTGGTCCAACCTAGAGTCAAGCTGGAATCCATCAAGCAAGACTCTTTCTCAACACTACTACTCCGTACTGTCTAACAAACTTGGCCTAAGTCAGAGGGAAAATCCACCGTTAGTCCCGCTCCAGTGACGACATCCGCCCCTCTTATCCGACCGTCGCTTTGACGGACCCCTGCAACGAGTCAGCGCGCAGATAATGGACCCTGAGCCTTGAGGACACAGCTGGCTTTTGGGAGGTTGGCCTTACAATGTATCTCCAACGGCCTGTGGCTGCGGGAATATGCCAGTTGCTTCAGTGCATCTTAGGTAGGTGAGTACTTGGCCAACTAGTCTCCGAGTCGAGGACCATTCTTAGCTGCGAGTGACAACACGTGGGTGTGGTTCAGAAACCTCAAGGATACTTTCAGAATAGGACATGATTTCTAGTCAATGAGCTGGATAGATAGATGAAATTCAGTGAATAAAATGATAGAGAGCCCGGCCGTGTAATCAAAGCTCGCTCAATTTGATCTCAATACTTTTTTCACCTTGCATTTCCATCTCGAGGCGTATCTACTAAGTACGAACCAAAGCAACGAGCCTCCTTCGTAGAAACTGGCCAAGGTCGAGTGAATGAGTTCTTGAACTAGCATCTGGAATGTATTCATGCACAAATCAAATTATTTCGGAGAAAAGACTGGTGCACAACCAATTCGAAAAGCTACTCGCCATGCGTCTATTGCCAAACTGGTGCTCACTCCAAAGCAGTACGGAGTACATCTCGGCTCGGTAGACATCCCGGGCCGCCATTCTTCTTCGCCCTTCTCCCGCCCCGCTTTCCACACCTTCACCCCCGGCACCGGCCTGACCAGAGCACAAGCACCAGCCACAGCAGGCGGTGAAACATCCCCAAACCCCCAATTGAACTTCTCCCGGCAGAAAACCAGCGCCAGACCCGCCCGGTGCGAGTCCAGCCCCGAAAAAGCCCACTCGCTCCGCCCCAGAAGACCGCAGCTAACCACCTTGCCTTCCTCCTCGTCCAAACTTTTGAACCTCTCCCAAAATCTCTCCCGTCCTCCGTCCGCCGACCCGGCTTCCCCGTGCGCTCTGAACCACCTTCGGCCCATTCCATTCACCCGCCAATTGGGCCGCTTTCTCTCCCATCCTTTCTTCTGCCATCGAGGAAAGGAAAAGAGAAGCTCGGCCTACTCTATCCACCATCGTCGTATTCCGACAAACCTTCAACGGGAGAGGATGCACTCCATCGCCAGGCCGGCGTCGCGCCTAGTCCACGCCCGTCTCGGAACGGCAAACATCTCACGATGGCGGACCCTCGCGACTCTGCCACCTCCGCGCCATAACCTCCCATTGTCGTCGTCGTCGCCTTCCTCTCGACGGTTCTACTCGCATCTTCCACCGATCTTTGCCCCTCCGCCGCCGAAGGAAGAGCCAAAGCAAGCTTCTCCGACCTCAACCTCTTCGACGACGAGCAGCGACCCGTCGACCCAGAGCTCGGACGCAGCCACTTCAAGCTCCTCCACAGCTCCCGACTCCTCCTCAACCTCAACCTCATCCTCGTCCTCGACGCCAGACAATGACACCACCACGAGCTCCTCTCCCTCCTCCTCCTCCTCCTCCTCCTCACCCAAACCCGACACCCCCAAAAGCCAACCACCCGACGATCCCCTCCCAGACACCGCAACAAAAATCCACACCGCCCTCCCCCCAGCCCTCTCCGAAAAACTCTCCCACCTAATGGATACAGCCCAAACCCGCCTCCTAACCGCCTCGACAACCCTAAACACCTTGACCGGCTACTCTCCCATCGAAGAAATCAAACGCCAAAACAGCCTCCTCGAAACCCGCCTCGCCCAGGCCCAAGACCTCGTCCGCACCGCCCGAACAACCTACAAAACCACAAACGCCAAACGCGCGACAACCCAGCGCGAAGTCACCACTCTCCTGGCGCGCAAAGAAATGTGGTCGCCCACCGACCTCGAACGCTTCACCCAGCTCTACCGCCAAGACCACTCCCTCGAACAAGAAGTCGCCGCCGCGTCCGAAGCCTTGACCGACGCAGAACACGCAGAGCAAGCTTTGGGCCAACAGCTCAACGCAGGAATCCTTAAACGCTACCACGAGGAACAGATTTGGTCCGACCGCATCCGGCGCGCATCGACCTGGGGAACATGGGGCCTGATGGGCGTCAACGTCCTCCTCTTCATCGTGCTACAATTCGTCGCGGAGCCGTGGAAGCGCAGGCGTCTGGTCCGCGGCGTCGTCGAGGAAGAAAAAGCCGTGCTCGAGGGCGTGACGGCCGAGTTGGCGGGGCTCAAGGCCGCGTTGGCGCAGAGGGAGGCGTATGAGGACGCCGCTACTGCTGATGACGTGGCTGCGTACATGGCGTCCACTACGGCGGCGGCGACGATAACAACACCCGTGGTGGCGGTAGAGGAAGAGACACCACTGGCCGCGACGGAAGCCACGGCAGCAGAAGAAGCGGAGGAGCTCCTGGCAGCCAAGGTCGAGGAACCGGCTGTCCAGCACGAGATGGAGCGCGAGGTTGCGAGTGCACTCGAGGTCTTGGAGGAGCAAGTCCCCGAGGCGAAATCATGGCGCGAAGCATGGCGCGAGCTCCTCTCTAACCCAGAGCTCCTCAAAGCGAAAATCGCCGATTTGTACAGTGAGCGCCGTATCGATCTTCGCATGCGCGATGCGTCCATCCTGGCTCTCGAGGGCGCTGCCGCTGGGGCAACCTTTGCGGCAGCTCTGGCATTGCTGCTTGTAAGGAGGACATGAAGAGAGAAGAAGATCACGTCACCACTGGAGCGTGATTGTAAATACATCTGTACAATATGATACCATATAGAGAGAGCATGGGGGAACATCCTCTTCGATATTGGCACAAAAACAACCACAGCGATCATCAGGAGACACGGGGCGAGCAATCTTGTCATCCGCTGAATGTTCCGTCTATTAAAGAAGCTGCGGCAGGAGTGCGCAAAACCTCGCTGATATACCTCTAGTCACGATTCTGCCGACTTGGTCCCCTTTTCCAATGTTCACTGGTGAACAGTCGGGGCCATCCTACTTTTTGCTTCATATATCGTGTTCGCCCGTCACTTCGTTTTTTCCGCCTGCGGTTTATCGTCACAACCCCGACGACGCGCAGCGTCTTCACGCAGCATCAACAAGCATCGCTCGTGCTGGACGTGCCTATATGGCACACATCGAGCTGACGCTTATCCACGCTGTACCCGCTCGGCATTCTCCTTACTTCTCACCCTCGTCGAAGACGTCACTGAAAGGATCCGGCAACATCCAGGGCTCATTTTCAATCTAGTTTCCATCATGACTCTAGTCAAAGTCGGCAGTGTAAGAGAAGCCACGGAACTCTTCTTGCATGGCTTGCGACAAGACTATAGTCTGGTTAGCAGCTGGTATCTCCGTGATGACAACGAAGATATACATACCTGATTGGACAGGGGTCAAGACGGGTGTAACGCTTGTGAACTCAGAATCGAAGTTGCTGGTATCGGTCGCGCTCTTGATCTGCGGCATGAAAGGCGGCGCAACGCGCTTATGGTAGATGTCATCCCAGTTGATGTTCCTAAAGAACGGCTGGTTCATAATCTCCTGCGCGTCTGTGGGACCGCTTCCAAGTCGCTGGTCGGGCTCTCTGGTCAGGAGCTTCTGAAGGATCGATACGGAATCTCTGGGCATGTGAATGGGGTACAGAGGCTCGTCGGCAAGAATGGCATCGTAAATTTCATCCTCGTCCTCTCCTCGGAAGGGTGATTGCTGAAGAAGCATCTGGTAAATCAAGACACCAAATGCCCACCAATCAACGGCACGGCCGTACTTCTTGTCGAGTAAAATCTGGACCAACAGTCAGCGAAAGTCTTGTAAAGAGACACGAATGAATATACCTCGGGGGCCATGAACTCTGGAGTACCGCAGAAGGTGCTAGTAGTCGAGCCGAACCACATGTCTTCCTTGCAAAGACCGTAGTCGGCAATCTTGATGTGTCCGTCCAAGGTCAAAAGGATGTTGTCAAGCTTCAGATCACGATAGATGACACCGTTCTCGTGGAAGTACTTGAGCGCCAGGCAAACCTCGGCGGCGTAGAATCTAGAATTTGGTCAGTAAATATCTTGGTGAAAATGGACGAGGGGTTACGTACTGCGCTCGCTTAGTGCCAAACTGGCCTCGCTGAATGTGCAGCATGAGATCACCACCGCTAATGTACTCCATAACGAAGTACACACGGGTTTCAGTTTGGAAACATGCGTGAAGGTTGGTCAAGAATGGGTGCCTCTCCCGGTTGGCGATAAGGAATACTCTCTTCTCGGAGCGAATGCTCTCCACTTCGTCATTCTCAATGATGAACTCCTTCTTCAACACCTTGATAGCATAAAGCCTCTTGGATCGCTTCGTTTCCGCAAGCATGACCTTTCCGAAGTTACCCTTACCAAGCACAGCCAGGAAGTTGAAATGGTCGAGGCCGATACGTTGACCAGTTCCAGGATCGGTGGCGGAAGGCAACGGCTTACGTCCAGCGCCAGAGCTAGGAACACCCCCAGTTGATGCAATGGGTGAGATTTGAGGTGGCTCCTGCAGCTTAGGCGAGGAGACGGGCGACTGCTGGTACATTTGCTGTTGGGGAGGTTGCGGGTACTGTTGAGGGGGAGGCTGTTGCTGCTGCGGCGGCTGCTGCTGAACAGGTCGCTGCTGTTGCTGCTGTTGCGCAGGGGGATGTTGGCCATATCCAGCTTGCTGGTTGACTTGCGCGTAGTCTGCCGGGTTGTACTTGGGGCCGCCGCTGTTGTACGAGTCTGGTTGCTCTGCCTGAGCTGGGTAACCAGGGCGTCCACCGTAACTTGAGTAGTCCTGAGACTGAGGCTTTTGCTGTGAAGCCATTGATCCGCTCATCGCCGCCGTCGCTGCCGCCGCCGCTGCCGTGCTTGAAGAAGTACGATCAGGGTGCATTGGTCGCTGGCCAGGCGGAGACTGCTGCTGCTGCTGTTGGTACATCAACTTGGCAGCCTCAGTTGCCTCCGGTGACCCTCCAGCATACGGCTGGCCTCCGCTATGAGGAGAGCCGATAGTGCTTGTTGGGCTTGTCGGCTTCTGCCGCAGTGTCCGATCGCTCAGAGAGGTGGAAGTCTTGTTCTTGGAGATCATTCTAGTAGACTTGATACCCTCCAAAATCTGGTTCGCCACGGCCATTGACATTCCACAGAAGTCAGGAACAAGGTGTACGCATGCTGCGTGTGCTGTGAGGCCACATTCTATTCAAAAGTCAGCTTTGTCTTTAGTTTACCAGCTTGGTACTTCTCGCAAACTTACCCGCACATTTCCTGCAGTTCTTCTTGCCAAAAGGCAAAATGTAACCGCAGTGGCAACACCAGTTGGCTGTCATGTTTGAGAAGGCCTGGAATCTGTGGGGGATGCGGTGATTGATCTTCTCTTCGTCCGGATCAGTTTCAGCGTTACTCTTACTGATACATTTGGTGACAACGCTAGAGTAGCATTTAGTGTGGCAAGTGTACTTGCAGTCCTCGCACTGCATGCCTGTCGAATACTTGAGGAAGTCTCCGCAAAGAGCGCAACGCATGATGTTGTAGAACTGGTGTTGGACGAACTTGTGTCCGTACATCTCGTGAACCTCCTCCTTGCGCTGACGAACAGCACCCACACGGCCGAGACCTTGTAAGTTGACAGGGCGACGGGCGTTGTTTTGCTTGAGGAATCCCAAGGAAAGTTGGATCTGACCAGCAGGCTCGAGGTTGAACCAGCCGTCGATGGGCTGCTGAGCGATCGGAGGGTTCGCCATGGGAGGTTGTCCTTGTTGACCTTGCTGTCCTCCAACGCCAGGAGAGGGGGGAGGACCACCCATTGACTGCTGCTGCTGTTGAGGGTTCATTGGGAATTGCGCCGGCGGAGCACCCATACGGTCGGCCGACACCCACCCAGAGCTGTTTATCTCTGCTTCGATCCTCTTTCTTCTCATTTCCTCGGCGATGTCGGAGATTCTGACCCAGAGCATGGCAATAGGAATGGCATGTTCGCCGGGTTTATCGTACACGGTAAGTTCGATTTCGTTCGCCTTGTCGACTTCGAGGGTGTGGTACTCGGCCTCCCACTTGTCGGTCCTGGTCACTCTCGTGCGGGCGACGACATTGTCTTCAACCTTGACGGCGATGAACGTCTCGGGCCCTCGGCTAAAGCGACTCATGGATGCGTGATCAACGTCCTTGATTTGTCCGACACGAATGGTGAGCTGGCCAGAGAGAGGCTTGCGGAGATTAGGCATGTTGATAGAGTCATCTGGAAAGTGTTAGCAGGAGTAATCCGGCGAGACTCTCGCGAGCACAAAAACTCCAAAACGTACCATCCTGGGCATCGGATGTGTCCATGTCGATATGTAACTCCTCGTAGCGTTTCATAGCCTGCTTCAGCAAAAGGATTTTCTGCTTGCTCTCAACTCTTCTAGCGGCAGCATCAGCCTTGCTCTTGCGATCTCCTTCCATGCCGTATAGCTGAACCATCTTCTCGATTCCCTTGAGATACTGCTCCTCCACATTGAGCTTGAACTGGATTTGCGACAGCATGAGCTGAATACGAGGGCCGAGATAAGGGGTATCATATTTGATAAGATCTGTAGCAAATAGTCAGCGAACCAAGTTCGTCGGAAATGCTTTGGGGATAATGCGCACCAAGTTTGGTGAAGTTGGGGCGCGGCTTAGGGATGGACGAAGAGGGGCCAGGATTGGCATATGGATGGCGGGGAGGCATCAGGTCGGCGTGGCCGCCAATCTGGCTATACTGGACATTACCGCCCGATGTTGCGCTCCCGGCACCATATCCGCCACGCTCTGCCCAGGCATTCGCATCCTTGGGAGGAGGGGCGGGCGCATCCTCAACGTCGCCGCTCAGAGGTCTACCGTCACCGGAAGGGGATCCCATGGACATGTTGTCCATACCCCGACGCAGCTGGGCCTCGCGAAGCTTCTCTTCAAAGAACTGCAGGTTTCGACGACCATCGCGCATCTGGGAGTCGAGTCGTGATCGCACGGCCTCGTTGTTTGTCTGGGCTCTCATAGCATTGGCGGCGTTGAGGAGGGCCTTTTCGCGCTCAATCTTTTTGAGGATATTTTGGATGGCATCTTCGTCGTTCATTGTGACGGTGGGGTTGCGCGACTCCACGCGCGGGAACTGTGTGTTGTGTTGATGTTGATATTTTTTTGGTTGGAGGGGAAAAGAATGAGCTTTGAAGCTACTTGAAAGTTCAGGAAGAGCCCTAGGGGAGCGACTGCTGCGTTTAGGTGCAGTGTACGCAGATTCTCTCGCCCGTTCTGGCGTGGTCACCTCAATGTCGCGCAGGTGGTGGGCGAGGTAGTGGGTGCGAGGTATGGTATTGATAGGATACGACGCGAGGAGAGAGAGGGTGAGGGTGATCGGGAGTGAGGTAGGTAGGTAGGCAAGAGTTGGGTACGAGATTCAGTAGCGAAGTATGCGTATGGATGGATACCGGAGGTTCGGCGCCGGAGGGGCTCGGGGTAGGTTGGCACAGCGGGAGGATCGGTCTGTCGGAACTGTCACGACAGAAGATCGGTGGGTGCAGCCAGCCCTCGAGTCGTGAGGTGGTGTTGTTTTTTCGCAGGTTGGGCTGTTGGTGAAGGATGTCGTCAGTGGGTTTTGGAGCAGAACGGGACGCAAAGACGGGGGGGGTTTCTCGGGAGGGGTCGCTCTCTCTCTCTTTCTCTCGCGGCCGCCAGTGCGCAGGCGGGCAGAGTGGAGGTGGGTGAGGGAGGACGAGGAGACGGTGGGCAGCGGGAGAGGACGGGGTACCGGGAAAGATGTATCCTTTGTGTGTCGCTAGGTCAAAAAGATACTTGAGAAACAAAGTATCCCTCCGACCTTCACCTCCAGTCCTGAATCCCCGAGCTGCGGCCTGCCTTTGGGCTGCCCGCACTGAGTGCACGGGAATTGGGAAATACCTAAGGTAAGGTACTGGGTACGTACCTATTTTGGAGGGGAGGGAGGGGGACGACCTCAGCGAGTCCTGCCTTGCCTGAGGTGCTTCCTGCCGTGATGGAGGGGTGTTACGAAAGCACCCGGCACGGACGAGGCAACTCTGTAACTCGATGTGAAGATGGCAGGCGAGCTAAAAGCAAGGTATAGGTTTTCAGACGATGATTGCAATCAAGGCACCTTACTTTGCCTGCCCTCATATTCCCGTCATTTACCACTCGTGCCACTGCAATCCCACAGGTCCGAGGGTCAGTAGCTAAGGCCAAAGATCATCCAAGATATCCGCAATGTTATTTCGACCGTCCTCGGGGGGGTCCATCGGCGTCTCATCATCCCCATTTCCTCTGATGCCCAACAACACTCGTTGCGGGTGCGCTTACCAGGTTTGTCCCTCTCCCATGCGGGTATTTATGCCCAGTATCCGTAAGGCCAGCGCGGATACCTAGGTACCTACACTGCTACAGCCTACAGCCTACCTGCAACTGCATACTGCACCTAGAACCAAGGCCAGCTGCTCTAGGATGGCATAGGTTTGATGTCGTATTCCAGGCGATAATGAAAAGGCCGCACTGGTGGGCGAACTCACTCGCAACTTGCAAAGCAGGGAAGATGGGTGCATAGGGCAGCAAGCTCAGCTGGACTGTTCCGTTTCTTCCACACCGGTCGCCTTCTGTTAGTCCTATCTCAGGCATCTCGGTGTCACCAGCCAAATAGTTGGCAGGCAATGAAACAATTCAACAACTTGTGGCGGCGCCCTGCAGATTCACAGAGGGGAAGACAAAAACACGCAGAGCAAGCGACCTGCAAAAAGTCCTGGATCAGACGTGGGGCTCCAAGGCTTTCCTAGGACTTTTTTCTTACCGTACTGTTTCACCGTGGTGAAGATTCATTTCTGCTCTGCGCCAATCATTTTGCTTTCCCGGGTTCAGACTCGCTCTTGTCACGTTAAGCTGATGATACAATGGACATTGTACCTTTGTACATCCACTCCGTTCATCCACACAGTGGCTCTCCCTCATCACATCTATACTTCACCACACTCTTCTTGTCTGTCTCTCCAGACATACTCCAGTGAGCCCAGTCTCTCGCCTATGGCCCACACATCAGGGAGACGGGACGCCATGGTCACTTACTCATACACATTACCTGGCAGTATGGTCAGATTCAACCCCGATTGCCAATCTGAAGCACTAGAATTCCACTACCTAGGTACGGATACTGTATAGCATTGTACAAAGCGGACGATACTTGTACTACCATCTCCAAGTCTCGGGGAGTTTATCGGCCCAGTTTTCCCAACACGGCCCATCCTCGCAGTCGCCGGGCTTGCAGCAGCTGCATCATCGCCCGATCCCCCATCACAACCACCACGCACAAATCACACTTCACACACACGCTGCCCGTCACCTTGCCATGATCTGATGATGCAGCCCTAGGTCTCCCGTCTTCCGTCTCTACGTCTAGCCCTGCTCTAGTCTGTTTTTCTCGTACAGTAAGTACAATGGGACGCATTCCCCCCAGGTTCACGCTGACTACGCAGGAGGTACTCAAGTTGCTTCTAAAAGCCGATAATCCCATGAATGATACCGAGCACATGCCAATGCTCCAGACTCACCATTCTACCTCTCAGTATCCACCAGAAATACCCGTCATGCTCTTTTCCACTGCCAGCAACGTCTCAAGCATCTGACAGATTCCTCAATACAAGAGGCCTCCTCGCCAACACCCTCGCCACCGGGCTCTATACACCACCGCACACCTCGTGATTGGGGGGTTCTACCACCGGCCGACTTAGCCTCCCGGCTGACACCTCTGCCGGAGAGGTCTCACCAAAATGCCCCTCCCGCCACCACACAGCTGCCGGCCGGCCTTTCCGGCCCAACGCCGCGCCACACCGACGGCCAAGTCCTCAGCCCTCTACTCCAGGTACCAACACCAAAAAACTTCCCCCAGATTCCACACACACGCACACACACTATCTCTCACCCACACCTCCGCTGAACATCGATAAATAATCAATCACGCGGGTCACCTTTTTTGAATACGAACTGACAACACTTGACCTACCTCTTCCGGACGGGGAAAATGTGGATAGCTAGCCCATCAACCCCAAATTCGGGTCACCGCCTATTACTTCCTCAAAAGTCACCTCTCGTCCTATCGTTCTCGTCCCAATCACAAACAAGATCAACGGAAATGCCATACCACGGCTCAGCATGTCATCTGTAACGTGCACCTGAAACAAACCTACCAACCAAGCAGCTCACTCACTGCCAACCACTACACGCGGCTCAGCTGAACCAAGCATACTGGAGCACATTGAGCCGCCAAATGCATACTCAAGAGGTTACTGCTAGCCATGGAAACACCAGTGACAACAGCCACTATGACTTATCCGAGGGGTGGGAGAACACGTAATTCCAGCCCGCCAACTTCGAGGGTTTGACGTCGCGGAACCGTTTCGACCCACCCTCGCTCCGCGGCCGCCGTCCAAGGTGGCCCCCTTCCCCAACCCACCCGGTCCGCGTAATGCCAGAGAAACCTCCCGAGCGAGGAGGTGGGATGTCGTAGTCCGTTACTGTGTCTGTATATCTATCCCAACCTCGGATCAGTAATGGCTTGGAAAGTTGCGGCTCAAGCCGATCAACTTTCTCTTCGTCATGCCTCTCATCGTCCCTATTCAGATCATCGAGATGCGATGAAGCCAATCATAAACCGCTCGGACTTGTCATCGCGTAGTGATTTGGGCATTTTTCACAAATGCCTTTGTCGGGTCACATTCCGGTCAAATTCCCATTGGTCTGTGTTTTGCTAATTGGCGTCTGTGTTCTGGTCTGAAGTTTGATGCGAAGCGTGTAAACGCTGTTGAGCTCATGCAGCGCAACGCGGCACTTACACATGGGACGCCTGAAATGGGATGAATGAAATATGTCAACGTCAACGACTCCTGGCTTCTACAAAGGGCCGGCGATTCATTTCATCTAGCGGTTTGGTTTGAGCTTCATGAAATGATCTCTGTCATAGGAATTCCCTTAAGTCGGTTCCGCCTCGATTGGGGAGTATGAAGTACGAGGTATGAGGTGCAGACTATGAAAGTCATAGTCACCTAGACTTTTCACACTGTAGTTCTTATGTGATGAGTAGGTCCCTAGGATGACATCATGTCAGCTTTTATCTTCGTTGGTAGGAAATTGCAACTCGATCTGCTAGACGCTTCCCACTGTAGGCCCTACTTCATCAGCCTGGAGCAGAAGCCCTCAGCAGACTAGTATTTTTGCCGACAGTGACTCAAGTTACTTCCACTTGATAATACCGCCTGGCCATTGTGATGATTAAACTAGAGACACCAACCATTGATAGCAATGGCCGATTCAGAGTACCTGTCGAAAATGCCCAACAAGGCTGACACCATGAAAGTATGAAGGCGGGTCAAAGTCCTACGAAGCGGGTAGAGGCATCGCGGTATGCCAAGACTCGAATCACGCAGGTGACGCAACTTCGCAATGAGGCTCTAGGGACTTTTCGCATGTGAATTCATATAGCATCTAACGAATCATCATTCGCGAGGCAATCCGCCCCAACACCGAATCGTGTCGCTTTTACTAACAAAAGACGCCATCTAGTACCCTACACGACTCCCATGAAAAAGCTTTGCAACTTTGCAATCCGCCCTCTTCTACATCATGATAGACTTGAGATAGCTACCACTCCCTTTATGCGGTATACTCCTTCTGCAACAACTTGGCAATAGTGTTGAGCTGGATATTGCTCGTGCCCTCGTAAATGGCGCCAATCTTGCTATCACGCCAAAACTTCTCGGCGGGGCCGTCGCGGACGAAACCCATGCCGCCCATCCACTCAATGGCGAGACCGCTCACGCGGCCGGCGACCTGGCTGGCGTACAGCTTGGCCATGGCGGCGTCCATGACAAAGTTCTCGCCCGCCTCCTTCTTGCGCGCCGCGTTGTAGACCAGCGCGCGGGCGGCGGCGATCTCGGTGTAGGACTGCGCGATCTGGTGCTGCATGCCCTGGAACTCGCCGACGAGCTGGCCGAATTGCTTGCGGTCGTTCCAGACGTATCTTCAAAGGTGTTAGTAAGACTAGATTGTAGAAAAGAGATCAGAAAGGGGTAGTCTCACCTGACGGCGTTCTCCCAAGAACCGAGAGCGAGACCAGTCATCTGAGCGGCGATACCGATACGTCCCTCGTTCAAGAGACCAATGGCGTACTTGTAACCCGCGCCCTCCTCGCCGAGGAGGTTCTCCTTGGGGATCTCGACGTCGTCAAAGTTAATGACACACGTACTGCTGGCTTTGATACCCAGCTTCTTCTCCTTCTTGGCAATAGAGAATCCCTTGGCATCCTTCTCGACGATAAAAGCCGTGATGCCCTTATATCCCTTGGACGGGTCCAGGTTGGCAAACACGATGAAGAAGTCGGCCTCCTTGGAGTTGGTGATCCACATCTTGGAACCGCTAATCTTGTACCCGCTCTCCGTCTTGGTCGCCTTGGTCGCCAGCGCGAACGCATCAGAGCCACTGACGGGCTCACTCAGACAGAAGCTGCCGACGGTGCTGGTGGCGAGCTTGGGCAGGAAGCGCTTCTTGAGCTGGCTGCTGCCCCACTTGATGATGGCCGTGTTGACGAGGGTGTTGTGCACGTCGACGAGGACGCTGACGCTGGGGTCGACGCGCGCGAGCTCCTCGATACCGATGATGGCGCTGGTGAAGTTCATACCCGCGCCGCCGTACTCCTCGGGGATCTCGACGCCCATGAGCCCTTGCTCGAAGAGCTGCTCCACGATGGCCGGGTCCATGTTCTCCGCCTCGTCCATCTCGCGCACCTTGGGCGCGATCACGTCGTTGGCGAACTTGCTCACCGCCTCCTGCATCGCGGCCTCGACCTCGGAGAGGTGGGTGATGGGCGTCGGGGGGATGTCGGCGATGTCGAAGTGGTCGGCATTGCGGCGGCGCTGGGTGGTGGAAAGGGGTCTTGCGGTCCTGGAGGAGGGGAATGTTTTAGTATCATGGTTAGAGTCTGCGGAAAGACTGAGTACTTACTGCTGGAGTGGCGAGAGGGCTCTGCCCGGTGTGCAAGTCCTCACCCTCGCGAGGGCAGCAACACCACGGCTTCCTCTCAAAGCAGGGCGAATGGCCCTAGCAATCGACGACATGGTATACGATGTGATATGTAATATAGTCTCGGGATCACTCAAGCAAGTCGGCAGGAGCAAAGAGAAAACAGGGCAAGAAAAACTCCGGAGGTGCGGGACGATCTGGGGATCGTGGGAACTCCTCGGCTACTTATGGTCTCGCTCGGCCGTGCGGTGGTAGCTAATAGAGAGAAGGCAAACGCCCGGACGGAAACGGTCAATTGGCGTTGAACGGTTTCCCGAAATGAAGGGTGAGATGATAAGGTGAGATTAATCGTGGACAGGAGAGCAAGTCAGGAGTAATGTGTAGGTAGAGTAGAGTAGGCCACACAAAATAAGTCAAAGATGCGGTGCGCCCTAGACCGTGAACCTCAAAGCCATTCGAAGCCACGGTACCTGGCGGCTGGCGAACAGACACAGCGCCCGCTTCAGCCGAGGATATCCATCCCGCAGCGGGGGACACTGGGGGGCCAACGCTGTCCCAGAGTCCCCAGTTTTGCTCCAAGTCTGGGGGAAAGCCGACGGCGTAGCACCCAGATGGGCGACATGCCAGGGGGGGTTTCTTGGGGTTCTACGGGTGACACGGTGACGCTAGAGTCGCTTACGTCAGGACCTGAATTCTTGCAACGGGCATGTGATGCACCTCTAAAGCCGCCTAATGCGAGTCACCTAAGCCGATGCCGTCCGTGGCCCGAGTTGCAAAGGTCGGAAGTGGGTCCGGGGGACGGAAGACTCTCCTCTGGCCTGAGGCGCCGAATATTATCGTTCAACCCCTTGCGATAGCCAATTGACTTAGGTAAGCAAAAAATCCAGCTTTCAGGGATTCGAATGCACACCTAGGTGCCCAGTCGCGACGATAGCTTCTAGATCGTGACGACAGCAATTGGACGCCGAATACACTCGACACCAATTGCCCGACATGGCCAGCACACTCCTCAGATCCCTCTTCGCCCCGGCGATGAGGCCAGCGGCATTCCCCCGCGCCGCCTCCATACTCACACCGACTGCAAACACCATCACCACCCCCCTGATCCGATCCTTCTCCTCGACGCCCGTACAAAATGCCACCATCATGCAGGTCCTGAGAGTTCGTCACTCCCCTCCCTCACCCCACGATACCCTCAGCTAACTCTCCCAACCTCACAGGGCTGCCACAAGAAGGGCAAGCGCGCCCGTCACGCCGTCTCCCCCGCCCTGTCCGAGATCAACGCTCCCGCCCTCAAGGGCGTCTGCCTCAAAGTCGGCATCACCCGCCCCAAGAAGCCCAACTCTGGCCAGCGCAAGACTGCTCGTGTGCGCCTGTCCAACGGCCGTCACGTCACCGCCTACGTCCCCGGCGAGGGCCACAACATCCAGCAGCACAGCGTCGTCCTCGTCCGCGGCGGCCGCAGTCAGGATTGTCCCGGTGTGCGGTACCATCTTGTCCGTGGCGCCCTCGATCTCGGAGGTGTGGCCAACCGTGCTACTTCCCGGTCCAAGTACGGTACGATGAAGCCCAAGAAGGCCACTGTTTCTTAAGTTTGGAGGATGACATGAGTGGAGGGCGAGGGGATGGGCGCTGTGGAAGGGAGTAAGAGCGGAAGGGTACTTTTGCCCTTGTTGTGGTGTACGACTATTAGACACCATCAGACATATCAAGACGTGTACTATTACAATGTACAAAATACCAAAAGAGATTTCACAATATTCAAACATGTTCAGGAAGAAGTTCAAGTTAAAGCTGGACAAACACCAGACGGACCCTTCCATTTGCCTATATCTACACAGCAAAAAACGTGTCCAAGTCTTATAGAACCATTTACGCCACTCCACAGTTGGTACCCATGTGCCTGACCAGTGCCTCTCATCGATGCAGGTAAACTCAATTGGTGGCCTTACCCAAGGCCAAATCTGGAATTTGTTGTTACATGCCACTCTTTTATCACGCCCCCAATTTGCTCTAGTCCTGCTGGTTTTCGTAACCCTCGGGCTTGTCCAAACCGTTGATCTCGAAGTAGCGGCTCGTGCCTGATGGATTGTTAGTGATGTTTGCCAACATCTCATTTGCCAGCTCAACTTACAAGAGTAGCCCTTCCAGTCAAAGTTGTCCTTGGGGTTGCAGTGGCAGCGCCTGTCGAGGCGAACCTTCTCGCCAGTGGGGCAGTGGGTGAAGGGAACGTGGTAGTAGGCGATATCGTTGAAGAAGTGAATCTGGTCCTTTGGCAGCATAAGACCGGCGGCGATGGAGTGCACAGGCGCGTCACCCCAACGCTCGTAGAAGAAACCACCATCCTGGTCGAGGGACTCGAAGTAGTCGATGTAAGCCTTTGAGCGGAGCCAGTTGAGGTCACCAACTTCAAAGTTGGACCACTAATTTCAGTCAGTAACGTCACCAGCAAACTTCTCCTCATCAGCCGACTTACGAAATGGCAGTGGTTGTAAGAGTCACCACCATCATCACTGAGGAAGCCCATGGAGTTGCCCTCGGCAATGTGCTCGGGGTGGTTCTTGATGAACTTCTTGGTGCTGTCCCAGAGAGTGGGGATGGTCTCGACGTACTCGTACAAGCTCAGAACGAAGCTGTACTTCTTGTTGTTCTCCTTCATAAAGCGGAACGGATCGTAGTGGATATCGCAGAAGAGCTCAATGGAGGGCTCAACACGCCAGTAGTAGTCGTAGTTCATCATGGCCGGCTGGCGGAAGAAGAAACCAGACTCGAAACGGCACATGTGGCGGTAGCTCACAGAGTCGCCGTAAATGATCTTGCGCTGGGCCATGTCCTCGCGAACCTTGCGGGCCTTCTCCTGGTCAATGTGCTCAGGGAAAGACCAGTGCTCCTTGGGGATTTCGCCGTAGTGAGTCTTGCCGGAAACAAGGGAGGTGGTGACCTTCTTGAAGGTGGCATCGAAAGGCTTGTCGTTCAGGAAGACCCAGTCGTAGTTGTAGCGGCGGTTGAATCGGTCCTCAACCTGACGGATGGAGCGGGCAATGTCCCAGATATCGGAATTACGGGCGAGGGTGACGAAGGTGGCATTCATGCGCGGGCCGGATGCAATGCCAGAGAGCTCATCCCAACCGGGCTCGTTCGGGGTCATGGCCATGGGCCAGTCCTTAGGGTTGTATGCCTCGCCGACCTTGGGGCTCTTGGTTTCGGAGTGAGTGGGCTGCTTGGGCTTCTCGGCCTCCTTGTTCTCGCCTTGCTGCTGCTGCTGCTGGCCGCCGGCCGGGGCACCGCCGGGTTTGCTGAAAGAGCCATCCTGAAGCCTGACGCCCTCGTAGCTAGAATGGGAAATAAAGTAGAACACGGCGAGGCCCTGCGTGAGAAGGTAGATGTAAGCACAGGATCATGAAGCCCCGTTGACGTGTGTATCACGGGAGTATCGTCGAGATGCAGAAGGCTTTGCGCCGTGTGTCTAGGGAGTAGAGCTGATTGCGCTCGCGCAAACTGGTAGCTGGGGATCAACTTACGAAGAAGGCGAAGAGAATGTATCGCACATAGCGTGCTGAGCCGGTCGCCATCTTGACCGATGAATTCAGGCCTTTGGATGGAAGCCCGGATCGGTTGGAAATGGTTGAAGTAGAATGGAAGAATAAGAGAAATCCCGTTCTTCCCCCGAGATGAACAAGGGCGACTGGGAAAGGAAGGGGAGAAAAAATAAAGAGAGGTGCACAGGAAGGGATACGTATTCGTACGAGTCGACCGCCTGAGAGAGAAGGATGGCTTCAGGAAAATGTTCAGAGGAGCTGGAGTACCAGGAGCACGCTAGCAGCCACGCAGCCCACTGGATTTGGGGGACCTGACGGACTCTCACAGGGTTGGGGGGTACGAATGCAGCGTACGCGGTGCGTCCACCCCGAGAAAAGGGAGCGCTAGCAGGAAGTACCGCGAGGTGGAATAAAGGGGGTGGGGCGACGACTGGCCTGCTCCCAGGAGGTTCGCAACTCAAAAAGAGCAGCCAGGGGGTAATACAAGTATCTTTACGCGGAATTTTGTATGAATTTCTACTTCTGCTTACAGCTCGAGGTATCTCCCACTTCTCGCGACTGAGATTGATGGAAGCAGACCTGAACTCAACAGCTGCATTCACCCATATTTATTTTTCTAACGAACCCCATGCAGAAACGAGGAGGTATGATTACGTGCGAAAGTCGACAAGACTCTTTCTGGGCATTGTCAAAATTGTTACGCAGAGGAACATAACAGCAGGGAGCGGTCGAATAGGTATCACCACAGAACCACGGATACAGACGGTACAAACCCAAGTACAAGAGACAGGCATTCTGGGCATGGCATGCTTCTGACAACTAAGTATCCTCCACGTACCTCTCTTCGCTGTAAAGGGCTGCCGCGTACCCGTTCCCAGCTCTTGGGCATCCTTTCTCCATATGATCGGGGACAGGGAACGTGGCCACTGTCAGAATCTGCTGCAGCGGCCTCCCGTCAGCCCTGGGACTCAGGTCCGTACAGACCAGGGGTGAGAGGGTGAGCTTTGCCTTCCATTTGGAAGCTGCAACCCCATTTGGCACTGGCTGAGTGACGGGACCCAATGGACGGGAAATCTCTGCGTACCATCCAAGTTCACCCTGCCATCCAGCAATGGTATCCGTAGACTTAGGGACGCTACCACGTAAAGTCCGTAGTCTCAGCAGGTACTCCTTCCACACATGGTTGATCTCCCAGAAAAGAAAATCTTCATGTCTGAAACTGACTGTCATCCCTTCTGCCCTGCGTTCCAGAGCTTCTCAACCCCCTGTGCTTTCTTCTGCGATGGACATGTACACATTTCCATTTTGATTGCCCCTGGCAGATCTAGTTGCCTCGTGTATATTAGCCCAGCGTGCAGATACGCTGAGCTCTATGCCTGGACATGTTTTATTTATTTCAGAATTCCACACAACGATGGACCTACTAATACCGTACGAGTCGCGATTCTTGTGGCAGTCCAGGAGAAAAGTACTTCATCCCCAATAGTGTCGGATCGTGGAATTCTCACCCGGCCCTTGGCGACTTTCTCAGCATCGAATCAATGGAGCACATTTCGATAACGCCAAATTGGCTCTCCTGCTAGGCTCGTGTGGCTTCCCGTGCCCTTTAGCTGCTTGCCGCTCGTATCCCGTCCGGTGCCGTGCAACTGTGATCGCCGTGCTTTTTGCCCCTCCCAAGCTCGTGCCGAGAGCTCAGTTCAAGTGCTGCAACCGAGTCTTTCGTCTGCAAACAACAACCTTGCAACACCGTATCCCGTTGTCAGCATGTGCTCGCGTTCGGCTTTGCTCTTGCATATGAAAACATTCGACCAAAGAAGTCCATGCGACTGTTCTTCTTCAAGAGATGTACCATCATCCCAAAAGGCACATGATACACCGTTGGGGGCGGACTGTCCGAAAGATCAGAACACCACAACGCAGGGCACAGAGCGCTTTGCTGGTCGTGCTCTCATGCCCGCAGCGTCAAATCTGTAACCAGGTGCCTTATTTGGTACATTGAGCATTCCGAAGAGACAGCCAGCCACCATGTTCGACCGTCTATTCTAGTCGAGTTGATTCGGAGTCACTAAACGGGATGAACCTGTCAAAATGTCGCTTCCTTGTGCTTGCTTGGTAGGCTTGCCGCCCATATGAGCCCGACTGGGCGGTAGATTCCTATCTGGTGTCACAAGTGCCCTACGCTCCAACTGGCTTTGACCGATCTCATTTAGCGATGTGCTCAACTGTGAGAAGAGAGCTTGGAATATGCGCGTAACCAACGGACTTCTTATCAATGTCTGATGGCTGAGTCAAGGGAGTCGATTAAACAGCATAGCTAGGTAGTAAGAAGTCGATACAACAGTTGAGGCCTTCAGTGATATTGGTTATTGTCGTGAGCCTCTGTGCTTCACAACTGAAGTAGTCAAAATTATTATTTGAGCTCCTGCTCTGTTGCTAACAGTTAGTAAATGTTCTTCGGACATCGGACAACATATAGATAGAATGCCGATTGGACTGAGCTATCCGATTCCCTCAAGATGTGTTGAGGACAGCCTTACAATGCAAACAGCCTATAAACGCTGACCTCTCAGTTGTCGAGATGAATCCAGCTCAATTTTATCTACAATATCAAGATGTTGACATCATCATGAGTGAAACAAGGTGAACTGTCAGTATAAAACAGATGACTGCTGTTCACAGGATGCCTCAAGGCAGCTTCCTGAACACGGCTGGAGATATATTCAGTTTTCAGTTTAATTCAAGAGATATTGACAGCAACCATCAATGTACGGCGGATTGTGCATTCTCCCAAATTCAAGCTCCCTACACAGTTGGACAAATCTAGACAGACCACAGAATAAACCCGGCCCAGACAAGTGTGATTGCATCACCTAGAAAGCAGGGTGCAGTTGATGATGGGTGTCACCCATCCAGATCCCTGGCTAGGACCCCTCTATCCACATTCGGCGAGCAAATACAGGCCACGATGACGAGAGGGGCTATCCCCAGGCCATCCCCAAGCAGCCGGCGTATGACTAACCCTTCACGTGACTCGAGTCCTCCCAGCTCAGCTGTTCAAGCTTGCTCATTGGCTCGGAGTGAGCCATGTAGTGGGGTCCCAAGGCTCTCGAGCCTCAATTCCTCCCCACGGATGCGAATGGTGCATCACCACTTTGGCCATCGCAACCCAACCTCAGCGACGCGACTCTTTTTGCTTCCCTTCACGCCCAGAATCTCACCTGGCGCATTGTGTTCAACCTTGTGCTCTGGTGAATACCTTGTCTCTGGATGTCAATTCACTGAGCAGACCCGGCCAAAGCACCCCTGTTTATGCCTTGTCGCTTTGCTCTCAGTTTTGGAATTTGTCTTTGACGACATCATGATAGTTTTGCGAGCTGCTACACCTAAATTCACAGATCTCTCGTTCTCTTAGTGGTAAGTCGCGCAAACTCTCTTGTCTTTCCGATCTTGATTTCGAGCTGCTGGGCGCCTCTTGTCACGAACTCTGCCCCTACAATCTCTACAGCGGCAGCTGCGGCCACTGCCTGAACTCGTGAAGGCGAGCGAGATGCCGGGCAGCTTCCTTGCCACACCACTGTAGCCACGATGATCCTACGAAGCGGGAGGGACCACCCACTCTTTCCTTTCTTGAGCTTCTCAGGCCAATCATGGTCTCTAGCCTTCTTCTTCCTTCCGTCAACCTACCTTACTATCTCCAACATCTCTCCCTCAGCATCTATTTGCCTCACTTCGTCAGAGACCCAACTCCGATGCTGACCACGACCTAGTATACAGCTATTTCTCTTATTTAAAACGAAGACGGACTAGTTGTTCAACATGTCTTTTTTCGGCTTCGACCCTACACGCCCTGCTGGCCATAACACGGCGGCCCCAGGCTTCTCTCAGACCCACGATCCTTTCGCCGGCCTTTCTCGCGGCGATGCCGAGGACGACGACGCTGTCGAGTTCGACGATACGTATGACGGACTAGGCGATCAACTCGAGGAGAGCGGCGATGCTTTCAACGACGACACGTTCGGAGGTGGTGGCCCGACTACCATCTCGAATGCCCCTGTCGGAAAGGACTTCGACTTTTTTGGCCAAACGGCAAAGGTGTCTGACGCCATCGAAGAGGAGCAGGTCCGCTACAGCCGTCAAGTTCCTGCCGCAAAGCCCGCTCCCGCCCCTGCGCCCGTTCAGCAGCATTACCAGCAAGCCCAACCTCCGCAGCAATACTATTATCCCCAAAGCCAGCAGGCCCCCAGACCTGTTCGCACCGGCTACGAGAAGTACAAGGATGCGGAACCCATTCCCGACCTACACGTCGACGCGTCGCTTTGGGGCATGCCTTCCAAGAAGACTGCTATCCCAGAGCCTTCCCCGAAGCCGCAGGCTGTACCGTCCGCCAGCAGGAAGGTCATGAGTCTGGAAGAGGTGGAGAAGGCAATGCGGGAGCAAGCCACCCAACGAACCCCTCAGCCAGCTTTCTCGGAATCTGCGCCGCCCCCTCAGGGCTACCCAGGACCTGAGTACGGCTACGGACGGCCCGAACCTGCCCAACAGCAGTCCTTCCATGGTGTTGAACATCATCAACAGCGTGGTGGCCAGCCTCAACAGCATCCTAGCCATGGACATCCCGTACAGATTCTGCAGAGACCTCAGTCCATTACGTCCAAGCCGACCCCGCCCGTTCAAGGAACTCCCAGCCCGCTCGCTCAACCTCCTCACTCCCAAGCTCCGCCTCCGCAGCCGACTCAGATTCTTCAGAACCCGAACCGACTCTCAGGTGATGCCGCACGGCTTGGCGCTCATGGTCCTCAAGCTCATCACCAGGCCCATGGACACCAAGGACACCGTTCGCAAGGATCCATGGGACGTGTTCCGTCCGCCAATCAGCAGCAGCAGCAACAGCAGCAGCACCTTGCACACTTGTCAGAGGACGAGAAGGCTGCCTACCTTGACCAAGAAACTAAACGTGCTAAGCGCAATCACAAAATTTGGCTCCTGTCTAAGGATAACGGCCTTATGACACCTCAAGACAAGAATTTCGTTACCCGCATCCAGCTGCAGCAACTGGTCTCGGCCACTGGCAACCCTATTGACAACACCAACGATGATTCGTTGACTGAGGATTTCTACTACCAGGTTCTTAGCCAGATTCGTGGCGGCCAGCGTCAGAACCCCAACCAGCCGTTGAACAACTTTGCTCAAACCTATCTCTTCCAAACCGGCAGCCGCCAGGGCAACATGAGAAGACAAGGACGGGCAGCAGAGAACCATGTTCA